TTGTAATTGCGCTCCATTGCAGTTAACGGTCTAGCGGCATGTGAAGTGGCTTTCTGAAATCTATCTGGAAGTTTGTGAGAGATAACTGCATCAACTCCATTTTCTGAAGCATCGGCTACCACGATGATATCAGGTGCCGGGTCGAAACTTGTCAGAAGCAAGTCTCAACCGAACATCGAACGTGTTCTGGCATTCCGTTTACCAATGTCATGGTTGCTCTTTGGTTAGATGTTGGTTCGCTGGGGCTCGGGCGCGATGCATACCAGGAGGAAATGCACGGTAGTGACTTACGAGGCCTAAGAATGACGTGAATGTAACCAGTGGGAAGACGAAAGCCGATATATGGGGCTATAACCGGGTTGGTGGACCACCGGTAGTTCACCAAGGGGAGTTGGCCAAAAAACCAGATTCCAAGCCAGCCAAGTGGAGGCCTACGAACCACAACCACACCTTTTCGGTTATGGCAGTGGTCACCGGTTTAATTGGGCACCTTGGACGTTTGACCCCGTCCGAGGGTCGTGTGATCCGATGAACCGGACACCGGCCCCAAATGGATTGCCGTTTTGACACCGCCCCGCTGACTTGCGGATCAGTCTTTGGCTAACCGAAGGCTCCGGTTGTGGATTCCTCAAGAAAATTCACCTCCCTTGGCCTGGGCTACGTGACAGTATTCAGCCCACAAGCCAATCATGGAACGCTTTTCTTTTTTATAAAGATTATTGAACCATGATTTATTTGGCACAGTCTGGGTTCAGATATGTGTGAAAATGCAATATTTATGTATTATCTGGATCTGGTCAGCGGCCATCTTTGTCCAGGATGAAACCAAGATACTTGATGAATGGCCTGAATCAGTCACATTTGTTTTCTCAGATTCTGAAATCATAATCGTGAATCCGCTTGAGCGCTTCATTCAGTCGGTTAAAGTTTTTCTTGTGTAATGGTGATATCGCCCAAATATGCTGCAATAATCATGATATCCGTCAGCATCATGCCCATCAGCTACTGAAAAACTGCTGGCGCAGATTCGACACCGAAAGACAAACCATTGTACTGAAACAAGCCGCTAGCCACTTAGTCATCAGCAAAGCTAACTTGGTGATATGCATCCGTTTAGTCAAATTTGGCAATACAAGTCCCACAATTCTGTTTTGTCAAAAATGTCTTCCAGTATTAGAAGTGGATATTGGTGATTTTCTGGTGAGGAATTCAGACCCCGTTGAAAAATTGTCACAAATGCGCACCTTGTCATTGGGTTTTTTTACGACCACAATCGGAGCTGCCCATGATTAATGATCAACCAGCTTAATGGCACCTGGTTGTTGCAAGCGATCTGGTTCAGGATTGACTGATCCGATTACAGCGTAGGGTACAGGGCTTCCCCTAACACTAACCGAACCCGGGGGGTTCGGTTAAGGTGGAGCCTCATTACGCACAAACGGCCGTTGACGGGTATCCAGTCTCTAAGTGAGGCTTGGGCTTGACCGCTTAGTACGATTCCCACACCTCACTGACTCAGTAGCTTTTGATTTTACTTCTATTAGTTAGAGGTGGTCGAAATCTCTGTCTGCCTTGGTATCAGTATGTCAGTTAGAGGAAGTTAGTGGGTAATCTCACTAACACGGTAAGACTGAGGTTTGGTCTTCTGCAGCATCTCTTTCACCGACGTGACATATTTCTTTTGTTGAAAGGACGCGTATAAAGTGCAACGGTACGTGCTGCGCTGCTCTACGAATGCAGGCAGAAAACCTTCAACTGTCATTTGTTTTCGAGTATCTCTACCTGCAAACCAATCCTGGCGTTTGGCGGGAGCATCAGTTATTGAACGACAGGTTCATTCGACTTGTGTGAACAGATAATGATTGTTAATAACACGAGGTCCATGGATGGAACGTATCTTACTGAAAAACTTGGGCATCGTGCTCATAATTATTGAGGAAATTAACTTACAATGTCATCATCCCATCGCCTTATAATTGCTTGTAACGTGAGGTTAACCGATTAAACGACTTGAAAAAGGCCTTCCAAGAAGGTCGAAACGTTGTCACCAGCACCTTTGAGTTTTGGTTCTCATTCGTCGTGACTAAGACAAGCTAATTTCCTCAGATAATGATTGTCCTTTTAATAGGTTCGTTTTACTGAGGAATGTTGTACGAATACCTGGAATACGTTTGAACTACGATACTTTATTTGCAAGCCTTAGGTCGGTTGCAAGAAAATACCGAGATGGTCTTGTTCCCGTTGGGCAATCCGTGCTAGGGCATCGAAGCTTCATATAAATTTTTGGCGTCTAAGGAGAATAATCGCAAGGCTCAGCTTCCAATAAAACATCGGTCAAACTGCATTTTACCTAGTATATGGTCAAATGTGTCACGTTCATTGATGTCTATCAAAGATGATATATCCCGGAAGCGCGCATATTTTTTCTGAACTCGTTTAGATATTGTCTACATAAAGGTATTAAGGGTGTTAAAATTGGATTCAGTATTAATGTAAGATGCACCTATTTAAGTTCATAGTTTGTTCTGTAATATTAAATCCTGATGTCTTTCTTTCATTTAGTGCCGAGATATATGTTCTATCAGTGTGATACTGTTTGTTTCACTGTTGGTTGTATTTCCTTCTCCATCCATCCGTCTATCAGGCTGGTAAGGTGCATTTCAATTACATCTACGGTTTGGGTGTTTTTGGCTGTCTGGGCATCTACTTACTTTTAAGTATGATGACAGCACAAGGCGTCACTGCAACTCATGTGGCCTCTACGCTGGGCTATTGCCTTCTTCCTATGTGTCTGCTATCCTCGTTAGGTATATTGATTTCTTTGAAGTAAGTTAAACCTTCCATATTTCAGCTTAACAACATGTATTTTGATGAATGTTTCAATCTACTTCCTGATTGGTTATCCGGAAGAAGTAAAATATTTAATCTTGGTATATTGTGCATTGTTGCTTGTTGACAGTGTTTCATGTGTGTGATACAGGACACTGCCGCTGTTTTAACCCGTCAGTTGAGTATAGTTGTAGGTAATTGATGATCTTACACGCTGGTCCGCATCAGCCATGCCTGATTAGTTGAGAGAGGTGTGAAACTTAGGCTGTAAGTTACCACTGGGGAATACAGGTGTGATGAAGCGGTTTATTAATGCATGTGTGCCCCATAGTTGCACTGCTGTGTTGTATGCAATACTGTCATAGGCGAGTATGCATTGGTTGAAAGTAGGTGAACTGCTACGTAGATGTTGACTTATTTTCAGGAGAATTTTCTACTTTGATTTAATTTGCTTTCGAGAGGTTGCTCTATAAGATACTGATTCCGTTCATAAACCCTTTCATTTTGAACCGCCGTCCTTTGGATTTGAATCGAAGCCTCCCATCCGGCTAAGGACCCTAAGTGACCCACAATAGCATGCTGAACTGTTGCCAGTATTGTTGAAATAATCCCACAGAGCACATTTCAAACAAAACAACAGAGTGGCGAACAAGCTCGTTTTCAGAGATTCGTATTCATGCCAATTCATCTCAACATATATCACTACTTGGGAATAAAATTGTCATGGG